ATGGTCGGGATCGTAGAAGTCGAGCGCTGGAATTGGCCCTACATAATTCTGATGAGCCAAAGTGTTGAATAAATGTGGAAAGTATCCTTTCTTTAGCTCTTTCAAATCAAACGCCTTGGGTAGAGCAGTTATAGGCATAGGAAAATAATTGAGAGAATCCAGAAATTTTACATTTCCTACCTCCATCAATATTAATTTTGTTCCTCTCATAATTACATTCGGGTATAGACTAGTCTTTTCTAAAATGTAACGAAGTAGAAACTGGTGATCAAATCCTCCACCATTATGCGCCAGTACAATGACTTTCTTGAATTTTTACGAAGTGTCAGAATATGATGCATAAATGGAGAAATGACGTCTTGACATCGAAGAATCTGTAATCGAAGGCCACATTTCTTGCATATAGGATTATCGGTACATGATTCACAACATTGTTTGAATACACATAGATTTGGCTCATGAAGTAAAGATCCGTTGGGTAATTCCTTCTCCTGACGGGTTTCCAAATCGTAAAATATTAATAAGACATCATTTGATTTAGGAATACTTCTGTCAGGCTGTATATAGCAGATATGTTCAATTGGTTGATTTTTATAACACGTTTTACAAAGTATATGTCCGCAGATGTGATCATTTCCGTTGTGAACTTTAAAACAGTCTACACATCTTTTAATTTTAGAACAGATCGATGGTAAATGAGCGTTAAAACATTCTTGTCCATAAAAGCTTCTATTACATTCCTTGCATTCGATGTGTTCCGTTTTCAGGCAGGCCGGGGATCTTTTACAAGCATAACATTGTCTATCACATCTATGATCTTTTTTAGTATTATACGGAATATGGCAGTTCTCACAAAAATAGATGCAGCAAAAGGCAGCAGTGAGGGATGTTATGACGTTGTAGTGCCCCTCGTGATAGATTAGGTTAAGCGTCGGACCAGTGGACACGCCTTCAAAAATGACGTCACGACCTTTGCATCCAAACCTGTATACAACAATTTTGTAGTTTTGCAAATATTGTTGTAGCTTTTGAAGTTCAGCTATTCCACAGCCCTCCTCAGGGATAACAATATCAGCCTTTTCCACAAGTTGTACAGCTCTTTCTCCCTGTATTTTTCCTCGATCGAGGCGGATTCTGCTATAATCTTTGTCTTTGTTCAAACGGGCCATAGCGATGACAAGGGCTCGTGGGAGACACAAATTATCGGTGTTTTTAACGGCAATAATGCCTTTTCTTTTGGCGCATTCCTCATCAAAAGTATTGTAATTTTGACCTCTACCACGACCAGCAGGCATCCTTACGGACGTAACCCCCAGGCAAAAAGTCTCGGTATTCAACCCCACAGAATTTGACTGATAGATGGAAGATATCTTCTCCCATATGTCCTCAGTTGAAACGTCGGAAAACGATTTAAAAGCTATCCATCCTTGACCGCGGATAAAGTCTTTGGAACAGAAAGTGAATCCAACTTGATCACTGGGCTGGAGATGTTCAGTTCCTTTGGCTACTATTTCTTCCAGAGCGTCTTTGATCCATCCTACAGGTTCGACGTCTTTAGGTATAGGTCGTATTTTAAATTCCACTTCTCGCCCATATAGATTAAATTTTTTAATCTTCTTAGTAGAATCCTTAACGATGAAGAATTTTTCCATTTTTTAAAAAAACTAAAACGTTAACTAGCGACTAAATCTGAACTGAGCACGTCTGTTCGCTGCAGATAACTGACAAGATAATTTACGGTGATTCATAGGTATTTATAATCTCGATTTTACCCCCACCACTTTTTAACTAACCATAGTGTTCCAAGGTCACCGCTGTATTAACTGGTTGACAGCCTGCGCTCCCTGCCCATTCACCCATGCTTGACAGCCCAGCCCGGTACTTCTTGCATATCACCGCTACGACAACACCTGCGCTGAACCTAACCTCATTTGCGACGTAGGTGATTGACTTGTTGGAATTTATTAGATACACAATATAGCCTGTACTATGTTTTCAATATTGTATCAATGATAAAAATTAACTGCACCACATGTGAGCAATTCCATTTTTATATGCGCACTGAATATGACGTGTTGACTATTGAGATCATCCTACACCATTGTTCCCGCGAATTTTATACGTTTTTCCATTTAAACTGAATCCGCAGAATTGCATCTATAATTACCATTATTCATCAGCGCTAGGTTACCTTGGACGCCCCCCACCACTTCCACTTTGGCCACGCCCACCGCGTGCTCTGATTGGCGGATCAGACGGCGGGAAATTTGAACGGGGTTGATGGTATATGTTGATTGGCGGGCCCCGCGGGGCCAGCCAATCAACGCGGGGCCCGCCAATCAACATATACCATCAACCCCGTTCAAATTTCCCGCCGTCTGATCCGCCAATCAGAGCACGCGGTGGGCGTGGCCAAAGTGGAAGTGGTGGGGGGCGTCCAAGGTAACCTAGTATCTACTCATGCGTGCCAATTATTTACAATTAAGAGCTCTGCGGAGTGACGCTGTTGGAAGGAGAATTTAGAGGTCCACAACTCATAGAGAGGCCCACAAACTGGGATTTAGCACTTGCAATGTAAGTTCTCTTATAAAAAAAAGTGAAGTAAAAACCCTAAAGCTGCACAACTTGTTTATAGGCCAAAGAAAAGCCACTATTAACTCCACTGTAAAAGAAAAATCGGCTTAGATGGGCTAAAGAACAATGGACATCTCAAAAATGGTGTGCAATACAATGGAGTGATGAGGCCCGATTTGAAGTTTGTGTTGGTGACAGTCGCAGTAGAGTTATTCGCAAAAGAAACGAAGCATTCCATGTTGACTGTCTGAAGAGAAAAGTGAAATTTCCAGCATCCAGTATGTCGTCAAATGGAGTAGGAAAACTTCATTTTATTCATGGAAATGTGGATACAAACAAACATTTGGCAATTTTAGAAGAATCGCTTTTACCAGTGATGGCAGAATGTTTGACATCCGGCCAAGATTTTGTGTTTCAGCAAGATGGTGCAGCGTGCCATACCTCAAAAAGACTATAAAATGGATGGAAGAAAATAATGAACCTCTTTTGAAATGGGTTTCTAGCAGTCCAGATCTGTCATCTATTGAAACTTTGTGGCACTAGATGAAAAAGGTTCTACGACAACGTCCTGCTCGTACAATCACCGAACTGAGACAACAGCTTCAAGAAATATGGGATTGTTTTACACCAAATTTTTGACAAAACTTGGTTAGCACTATGCCCTAAAGAATTTCAGCCGTAATAAAAGATAAAGGTGATGTTACCCAATGGTAATCTTTCAATTGTTGCTTTGTTAACTTCGCGCATTTATTCGCACATTGTTTATTTGTTCAGATGTTCTATTAGTTATAGGTCTAAGTGATTTCAAATATGTATTTTTTACGACTAGAGTGTATCTAAAATGTTTTTGAGATAATAAATTGTTTTAGAAGCAAATAGTTTCGTCATGTTTAGTTTATAAAGGCATATTTTGGTACAAATCTTGAAGTTGACCAACTGAAGTGGGAAGGGGCTCGTATGTAGTAACTAAAAACAATGAAATAAAAAGTCACTTTAGGTACGCAAAAATTCATATAGTATAATTTAGAAAAAAGTTCCAACGGCTCTGTATCTCACTGATTTTCGACAAAAATTTTGAGATGCTTGGTGAGGGTAATAGCTTTACCATAATTCGGAGTAGCTTCTGTTGGTGCTGGAATCTCTTCGACATCAGAATCTTCGGAAAGTTCTTGTATTTCAACTGGATTTTCAATTTCTTGGCCTGAATCTGGATCTTCAACGTACAAAGTTCCATCTAGGTTCAAAAAATCATAAAGGTTTTCATTATCAGGCAATTTCAATAAATTCTTATTTTTGAGGATATCTGAAAGTACATTAAGTGGCAAGTCATCTTCTGGGTCAGGTGTATCAGCCTCATTTAACTAGTCTTCATTTCGCATATTTTCATGCTTGAATCCTGCTTTGCGAAAGCAATTTTGCACTATTTACTTGGTTACTTGGCCCCAAGCGGTTTTTGTCAAATAAACTAAATCCAGTGACGTAATTTTCTTCATTAACTCTAAAGCTGTACCAGTAGTTTCAATGTTTACTAGCAGGTGTTTGGGTATTAGACTTCGGTAATAAGTTTCAAAACTCTTTATAATCCCTTGGTCCAGTGGTTGACAAGCTGATGTACAAAAAAAAGGGGCAAAAATTAGATTCTAATATTATTTGAGCGAATGCGTTTTGGTTGAGATACCGCATTGTCTAAAAATAAAATGTTTCTTTTTTCTTTAGCCATTTTCCAATCTAGGTCTTGCAACCACTTTATCATAACGTCGAGCCATTTCTACAATGAATGTGTCGCCCACTGTGTCTTTTCCGCATAGGCGTCAGACTAATACTGAATGGAAATTTAATCGATAGCATGTACCCAAAGAATAAGAACGGTAAATTCTCGAACAACTCCCTAGTCCCTAATTCACACCGGGCAGAAATGCACCACATAGGCTGCGTTTGTACCGAAAGATTAAAGTCCGTGAATCCCCGGTTTACTCGAGAAAGTCCTGGCGAAGATGACGCACGGCACGATTGAGAAATAAAATAGCGATACTCTCAACAGAAAAAGAAATAAAACAAGGCGTTTCTTTTTATTTTGTTTTTTGTCCGGTTAGGAGAACATTTTCTCGTGTCCGCGTCCGTTCAAGAGATTGTCCGTCCAAGAAATACATAATACAATGCAAATTATATGAGGTCAGGTCAGGATCATGAGACACTGTCCGTTTAAAGGAGGCGACCACGTAAGGGGGGTGTCCGCTATGGGAAATTTCACGGTATATGACCATTACTTTATTATTACAGAGGCAGGGGAGGGGGCCGAGCCAAATCTCACATCTCACCAGGGGAAGAGGGGGTCAGGAAATCGTCAAAAATGTCTCATATAATTTCTGACTTCTGACTTTTAAAACACCTAAAGTTTTTATCATTTATTTGTATGTTTTTTGTAGAAGCATTATCCAGTGGTCATGAACTGGAAGAAAGAAGATCAGACGAACCAAAGTATTCACCACTGTGGTTTGGTCCAAGGGTTGGAAGAAAAAAACGAAGTGACGGCTTATACAAAAATGTTGAAAATGAAGATGGGGGAGTATTTATGGACTTTATAAAGAAAAACCCTTGGACAGTAGTAACATTTGGTAATGGTAAGATTTCAGAGACTAAGGAGAATGAAGACCTGATACTGTGGTTTTCATGTTCATGGGACTCCATTGACTGGCCGAATCAAATCACATATGGGTTCATTTTTTATTAATTGTTGTGTAAACAGTTTGTTTATCTGTCTTTCAGGTTACAGTTCATTTATTTTTTTTCTTCATTCTTTTACAGTGTGTCCTTTAGAGTGTATAGCGATCCTACATAAATGAGACTTAATTCTGCATGATACAGTGTTACTTATACGCTCGACGGCCGACAGCTTTTGATCAAAGTTTGTTTAGTTCCATTCAAACTAGTCTTAGACTGATTCAAAAGTATCTCTTCATAATTCATGGCGAACTTCTGAAATGTTTAAGTCTAAAATCTAAGGATACCTTGTTAGGATTTTGAATTTCGTAGTCCCACTGAGAGCTTGACTTGGTGGAAATTGTTGCATCTAGAATACAGCTTCTTCCAATTCAAACGATTGTCGATGGGATAAATAAGGAATGCCTCGGTACCTATTGCTAGCTTCAGGTCTAGATCTTTTATGATTATAACGATGGTGGGAGACAAGGGCCAATCAATATCACCCCGTAGCTATTTCAAAGTATCTTAAAAACATATATGTTTGTTTGTATGGGGTTCTTCCTGCATATAAATTGGAAAATACTGCTAACTTGCAGTTTCAACAAGACAGTGCTACATGCTATACGACCTTTTAAACAATTATTCAATTGCTGCATGAAGCATTTCCGTAGGATGACGAATTTGGAGGAGGCGTGGGTCCCCATAGTCCCTCAATCCTGCCATTTTTTTTTATAAAATGACACATATTGCTGTAACTTGGTTGGTTGCCCGCTCTTCAATGCCAACAGGCTCACAGACATTAGTGCATTAACCCTTTGTTTCCTGAAAACTTTAACATCAAAAAATTGAGGTAAAACTTAAATAATCTCACTCTATTCTGTTCGTAAAGGACAAAAAAGTGGAAAACATTTATTTTTTTATATATATATTTTTGGTTTCGACATGATACCATTAGGAAACTAGTGCAAGCCAATAAAAACCTGATAACTAAATAACATTATAAAACTTAGGTTACTTTCTATGATACAACGAATACAGTTTTTTTTTTTTTCGTAAGGCACAATCCAACCTTATGAGTCACAATTTTCTTGAAATTCGCTTTTTGTTTGAAGAGAATGAAAGAATTCACAACACATATATCCACAAAATTCGATGCCACCATTTCTTAGCTTTGCGGTATATCTCATACACAGTTTTTAGCATATCTGTTTTGTCAACGTAGCCCATATGCTGTTTATATTCCTTGACCATGGTTGGGCAGGCTACGACTTCCGTCCTTTTGCTTGCGGGAAACAGTTGCTTCTTCTGAAGAGTTTTGATGATTTCAGAGAAAATGCACTATTTTTCGGTCTCTCCACTTTACAAAAACCAGTCAATCTTTGCTGACCCTCCAGTCAGATTGTCCTCGGATGGGCAATTCTCTGTCATATAAAGGGTGTTCAGATAGGGACGCTCGATGTTTGAACGCCGCGCGCGCCTAAACCGGTGGGGATACAGCTGTCAAATTTTGTGAGGTTATTAAGTTAGTCTTGACATTTAATCATGGAGCAGTACACGATTCAACAACGCGTGGAAATTGTGAAAATTTATCATCAAAACAGATGTTCGGTTCGTGAAACGTTCCGCGCATTGCGTCCAATTTATGGTGCGCATGGCCGTCCTGCTGAGTCCACTATTCGACGTCTGCTCAATAAATTTGAGAGAACTGGCTCAGTGGCAGACCAAACAACACCCGTACGGCAACGAACAGTAAGAACAATCGAGAATATTGCTGCTGTGCGAGAGAGCGTGCGTCAAGACCCGAATCAGTCATTGCGGCGACGTGCACAAGAACTTGCCCTTCCAAAGACCTCAACATGGACAATTATGCGTCGAGACTTGAAATTGCACGCGTACAAAATTCAATTGACGCAAGAATTGAAACCGCAAGACCATGGACAGCGCCGTACATTTGCCGCATGGGCTCTAGAGCAGTTGCAAGTCGACCCTGCATTTGCACGAAAAATCATCTTCAACGACGAGGCGCATTTCTGGATGAATGGGTATGTCAATAAACAGAATTGCCGTATATGGGCTGCCCAAAATCCTGAAGTGACTTGCTCAATTGCTATGCATCCTGCTAAAGTGACTGTATGGTGCGGTTTCTGGGCTGGCGGCGTAATCGGTCCATATTTTTTTGAGGACGCTATGGGCAACGCGCTTACGGTCAATGGAGATCGGTATCGCGCCATGATTAATGATTTCCTGTGGCCTCAACTGGACGATATGGATCTAACAGACATTTGGTTCCAGCAGGACGGCGCTACGTGCCACATCGCACGCGCAACGCTGGATTTACTGCATGAAAAGTTCAACGGTTTCATTATTTCGCGCGGCGGCGATGTGCACTGGCCACCAAGATCGTGCGATATAACGCCTTTAGACTTTTTCCTGTGGGGCTACGTGAAGTCTCAAGTGTATGCGGATAAGCTACAAACAATTGCAGCATTAAGGGCCAACATCATTCGCGTCCTCGGACAGGTAGACGCTGAAATGTGCGGAAAAGTGCTCGAAAATTGGACCATGCGAATGCACGCTATACAGCGCAGTCGCGGTGGCCATTTAAACGATATAATCTTCCATACATAATGTCGTCGAATGCTATTTACGATCAATATAGACTTTTAGTGCTGACTTAAATTTTTTTCCTTTTTTTTCCATTTTAACTTTCGAGCGTCCTTATCTGAACACCCTTTACTAAGTCTTTCGGGATATCTTTTCGGTTAGTCCTGATAGTACCGCATGCATAAATACATTCTGCTTGCAGTGTTTTCTATAATGGCACAGAGTTAATAAAGTTCTCGAAGAAAACGTGATATCCTTTTGCTATCAAGTCTCGAGTCAAATCTAAGATAACTCTTTGGCCCAAATCTTTTGCAGGTTGATTATTAGTTTTTCCAACATATATTTGAACTTGGCAGACATATCCATTCTCATAGGATCGAACCCAGACTTTATAACCTCGTTTGATGGGCTTGAGGGGTATAAACTGCTTTAGAAAACTGCGACCCTTGAATCGAATCGTAGATGGATTGATGTTTTGAAGGGCCATATGAAGAACGAAAGGTTCCACATAAAGTCTCCAATAAAGGGCGAACTTTATACAACTTGTCATAATTTGGCGAGTCGCGACCAGGCATCACTGAATTATCTGCTAAATGCACATTTCCGAGACGCCAAGCAAATCGATCTCTAGGCATTGCTATAGTGATCTCGTAATTCCTCTCTAGATGACCAGTAATCAACATAACTGGACGACCTTTTGATTCCCATCAATATATTGATTGAAATGAAAATTTCAATCTCATTCGCAGAAGTTGGGGTAAATGAAGAGTCTCCTCCACGTTTCTGAAGAGCGTAGATGTTTCTTTCAAAAAAATTTTTATCAATTAGAGTTCTGGAAAACAAGTATAAAAAACATCTACTGGTTTCTCCAGATCGTCTGGAATTTTAGGTCCAGTTTACTCAGTGTACTACTTGCAAAATGCCGTTGATTTGGTCCAGGTTGTCCTTTTCGCTAGTTCTCTATCCCTCAAAATAGAAAGAGGAATATTGTCTTCCTCGTCTGAGAAGGCTTCATCACCAGGAACATTCTCAGAATTGTCGACTCTTGCAGGTTGGTCTGGTTGGTCGTCTTCAAATATTATTGGCATATTCGGAATGTCGAGCAAATCATTTTCATCACTACTCGGTTCATCTGACTCACCATCCGAAGGAATGCTCTCTAATAATGAATATAAATCATCCGACGACATATTCCCCAGTTCTCTGAATGTATACACTTCTTTTACTGAAATAAAAAAAAAAATACGTAATTTCCTAGTGGTTTCACGGTGAAACCGGCATTTTGTATCTTCGATAAGTTTTGTAAGTTGATAACTTTAAGTAATAGGGAGCATTAATCATCGATACAAATGTTTTTAAAATTTTAAATTAAAGAATAAACTTACCTGCCATAGCGAAATGATCTAAAAACCACCAAAATTGCTTACACCAGTTCAAAACATTCTATTACCGACTAATACATGAGCAACGCGAATGCAAATGGCGGAGCGCAATAAATTTCAAGGTGGGGAGAGCCTTATACGTCATATACTGTAAGTGGTTTCAAGCATATGCCGCTAGGAACGTAGCAATAAATTTGTATGTACGAGGTTTCACAGTGAAACCACTGAGAAACAAAGGGTTAAAAGAGGAAAAACAACTTCGCCTGGAGTAAATTCTGTCAGATTTATACAAAATTCGACAAAAGAAAATTAGTCTTCTAATGACAATTATTTACTTGGATTTTGCGCCTGAAGAAACACACTTTTCTCGTATAAAGTTGCAGAGGTTTCGGAAAAAAACTCAGAGTGTGTGTCTATCCATATCACCGTAACAGTTATATGTATTAGTCTCAGTATTAATACCTAGGACGTCTCTGACTAAGAGGAACCTTGAAAAAATCGAAACCTTGGCAACTTTATAAAAGAAACCTGTGTTTCTTCAGGCCTCAAATCCAATTATGTGAATACAAAAAGAGTGCTTTTGGCCTGTTTAGCGGAGAAGGTTATATGCCTGAGTTGTTGTACCAAACAAAACCCTATCCTGAATAACTAATTTATGATTCAATACAGGAATATCAATCTAATGCAAAAAAATGTTTCCTATTGTCACATGACCTAAAATAGACATTACGTATGTTGTAGGAAAAGGTCACGCCTTAAACCTGGTCTCAAAGAATGGCGGGGAGTCTCTGGAGGATTTGAGCAATTCGGAGATAAATAACCTGATCCAGAGATCGATGACTTTCGCTCCTAGATTAGGAAGGACTACACTCCTGCAGAGAATGGCGCGAGATGAGATTCCCTACCAGCTAAATTGATTCGATGCCCCACTTCATGTGGGACACTATTAGTTGTACATTTTGAAATTTTTGCAAATAAATAAATGCCAGTATTTATATAACGTGTTCGTTTTGTTATATTTAAGATATTTCTCCACAATAATTATGGCCATACTTTTTCTGTCCGAAAATTTCCGTACCCTGTTAATATAGATCTTTATTTGTGTGCGAGCAACATGACCATTTAAGATATGACTCAAAAATTCAAAGATATCAGCTTGATTAATTTGATATAATTATGGAGTAAAACTGTATACCTAGATTGTGACATTTTTATCCCTAGAAAAGAAAGAAGAACTATATTCTAAGCTTCACTGACGTTTAAGGAAGATCTTGATCTCGCATTTTTCAATAAAATATTTGTTTTAAATCTTTCTTGAGATAGATTAGTGCTTTGGGTCCTAATATTTTTTCTTATAAAAAAATCAAATCTATTTTGCTCTAAAAACAGCAAGTTAGTGGCGTATGACATTGTAAATTGCATAGAGTGTATAAGGAAAGTGATGCTACCTAATTAAGCTGAAGATCTATTCTAGCTCAATAAAGGTGGCAATTTACAATATCCCTATTTTAATAGGATTTTCGATTTTTATGTTCTAGAAATATTATCACAGCTTCTTGAACCTTTCATCACACTTTTCGTGACTACAGTGTATCATGGTGCCTGTTGCCTAGGGATCAACTAAATATACAATATCTTATCATGAACCTCTATTTATCGTCAACTGTATGATGGAGATGAAGGAGTATGAAACCTCTTTTTGAAAAATAAAATAAGTTTGGAAAAAGGCATTTATGCCGTTTTCAGTAGGTATTCAGCATACTTAATATAATGTATTTTACCACATTCATCTTCTACTAAATAAAACAAACCACCGATTAATGGGATGAACCATGTTTTCTTCCTCCCAAGAAACCTTGAAACGTGCCAAATTAATTTGACCTTTGGATCCAAAGAACAGAGACGCATATTCGAAAGACGTGTATAATTGATCGATCAAACGAACTTACCTGAAGTGAAGTTCGATCGTAATTATACGAGGGTCCAGTCCGAAGACATCACTTTGTTTATTCACTATGTAGTCCGCCCCTGGAGTACGATCCGCGCACCAAGTTGAAAGACGAGAATCCCCACCTCCTCGCCGCGCCCTGGCCACTCGCGTTGAATCATTTGTTTAAAGAAATGGTACTTGCTCGCAACTTGGGAGGGTTGCATATAGGGTGGGGGTGATGTCTTCGGACTGGACCCTCGTATAATTACGATCGAACTTCACTTCAGGTAAGTTCGTTTGATCGATCAATTATACTTTGGGTCCAGTCCGAAGACATCACTTTGTTTATTCACTATGTAGATGTTTAAAGATGAGATAGAGTTGCGAGCGAGTTGATGATATAAAAAATACAAGTATACAAACCCAAAAAGGCAAAAACATATATTCTGCATTCTCATAAACAAAAGCAAAAAACAAGGGGTCAATTTTTAACATTTACCCTAATAGTAATATTTTTTCCAAAAAACAACTAGAGTACCTAAAGTACGTCACAAACTCTTAAACTGTTCTAACTAATCAGGCATTTATGTCCAAAATGGCATTTGCAAACTCATTGTTGGTTTGTAAAGGACGATTATAAAACTTTGCAAATGTGGAATGTTGCGTCCAACCAACTGTTTTACATATACTATCTACGGAAACGCCTTTTCTTAACGCCGTTGAGGTAGCCGCATGCCTGACTGAATGAGGCGTAAAAAGTGTTGTGTTGACACCCGCCGATGCAAGAGTCTGTTTTACCCATCTGCTTAAAGTGTCTTTGGACGCCCTGGTATGTGGTTTTTTATATGTCACGAATAGAAAATCGTTGTCGGGTTCTCTCAAGCTAGCTGTTCTGTCAATATATTCCTTCAGGATGGTGGCTACGCACAGGAAAGGGTTTTGTTGAAAAACCGGTATATGCAAGGTTGGTTGAGGTTTCCCACTTCGACTGGTTTTAATTGGGTCTGAAATATTAATGGTAGTTTCGCTGGGACCATGGGAGGTATGTGAAAGACGAATAAGAGAAATTGTCTGGAGTCTTTCTCCTGTTGTTAGAGCTAATAACGTTGTCAATTTTTGTGACAGACTTTGGAGGCTAAGTGGAGATGGTAACTTTTCTAGATAACTTAGGAGAGGTATAGGATCCCAGGTGGCCGAATATTTTGGTCGAGAAGGCCGTAAACGATGAATGCCTTTTTTGAAGCGTCTAATTATAGGATTGGATGCTAAATCAGTTGAGCAAATTAGTGAAAGAGCAGATGTATGAGAATTAAAAGTGCCAGACTTGAGGTTTTTCTTCTTTGTCAACTCTTGCAAGAATGACACCACGTCTTTGATTGTGGGTTTAAAGATCGAAATGTCATTACTAAAGCAAAATTCCCACCACAATTTGTAGGAGCTGTTATATTGCTGCAATGTGGATCTGGAGACTGAGGCGATGATTGTAGAAATAGCAGATTCCGGCACCTCTCTACTCAAAAACGCTTGCCTGATAACTTCGCTGCTACCAGGGTAAGGGTTTTCGACAGCGGATGTGACCTGGAAACCGCACAAGATAGTAAATCAGGTGAAGGGGGAAAATGAGTTTCTTGGTCGATCAATAACTGACGGAAAGGTGGGTACCAAGGTTGTGAAGGCCACCAAGGAACCACCAAAATTCCGACAGCCTTTTCCTGAATTATTTTTTGTAAAACTCGGAGAATTAAGGTAAAAGGGGGGAATGCATAAAAATAAAAACTGTTCCAGCGAATTGTAAACGCATCGATATATGTAGATCCTGGATCTCTATGCCAGGAAGCGTATACCTCGCATTTCGCATTGGTATGAGAGGCAAAAAGATCGATCTCTGGTTTTCCGAAGATGTCGGTTAAATGGTCGAAGGCAGTTTGAGATAATGACCATTCCGTTTCAAAATTCAAGCTCCTGGACTCATCGACTGCTATAGCGTTATCTTTAGATGGGATGTATGATGCAAAAAGCCAGAGATTTCTTTCCTCACACCATTGCCAAATTTGTTTAGCCAGAGAACATAGCTCTGGAAACCGAACACTCCCCATTCTGTTAATGTAAGAAACGGCTGTTGTATTGTCGCATCGAATTAGAATATTGCAATTTTTTAAAAGTTTTGCATAACACTGGATGCCGTAAAATATAGCCCATAATTCCAAAATTATTTATATGCAATAGTTTTTGGGAGTCGGACCAGAAACCGTGGGTTCTATCCTGGCCAGAGCAAGCCCCCCATCCTGTTAGCGATGCGTCGGTAAAGATGGTGATATGAAAGGAATCATACCTTATGTCATTGAAAGCTGTTGAAATGTGATCTTTCCACCATGAAATATCGCTCTTTATGTTTTCAGGAATAGCCATACTTGCGTTATAATTTCCATTGTTTTTCTCTAAAGCTAAGAATTTTTCCCTTTCTAGAGATTTGCAATAAAGAAACCCGTATTTCACACCAGGACAAGCCGACACCAAGGTGCCAATGAACCTTGCCCAGTCGCGAATTCTACATCTCGATTGGTTCAAATAATATGAGGCTAACCTGAGGATGTGATTTTTCTTTTCGGCAGGAAGTTCAATTGTTAAATTAACACTATCTATCAGAAAGCCGAGGAATCTTATACGAGTAGTGGGTACCAGAATGCTTTTGCTGTTATTGATGATAAGACCCAATGAGCTTAAAAACCGAATGGTTGTGCTAACATTATTAAGGCAGGATTCATAGGAAACTCCAAAGATTAGAAAATCGTCTAAATAATTGACTGTAGAGATGCCTAAATTGCGGAGAAAAGAGACGACTGGCTTCATAAGCTTTGTGAAACATAACGGAGCTGTACATAACCCAAACGGTAGGCAAGTGAATTGATACAATTGGCCATCAAAGTAGAATTTTAGAAATTGTTGATGGTCGCTGTGGACAGGTACTAAAAAATACGCATCTCTCAAGTCGATTGTGCACATGTACACGTTTTTATGAGTCAATTTTATAGCCGTACGAAGGTCCTCCATTTTGAAATGCGGGCATTCCACATATTCATTTAACTGTTTCAGGTTTAATATAAATCTTTTTCCCCCGTTGGATTTATCTGCAAGAAAATATGGAGAGATAAATTGATCGGGCCTTGACTCAGATTTGATTATGGCCCCGGGCTTCTGCAAGTCGCGTATAGCTACTCGAACTAGCGATGTTTCTGTCGAAGAAAAATTATTTGTGCCCAAAGGTTGACGTAATGGAGGTGTGCATTTAAAGGGAATCCGGTAACCTTGAATCCAGGATAAGACTATCGGATTTGAAGTTAGTTTTGACCAAGAGTTGAGGTAAAATTGTAGCCGACCAGCAAATAGAACTTGTTTTACCTTCAACGTTTTCTGGACTGCTGTTGTCTGTTCGGAGCAAACTGTTTTGAGGAATTGCCCTTGTGCTGCCTCACCTCCCTCTTGCGGTAAGACGGGCGATACCTGTTTAAAGCGCCTACATTCTTTGACGAGTTGCCTCCCCCCCCTCTTCTTTCAGGATTACTGAAAGACCGAGTCACTTGAGAGCTACTGCGTGAGGGGATAGAGGACAAACGTAGGTCCTGTCCGGCCTTCTCCAAAGATTTCAAATTTTTCGCCCGCTCACCTAAATCTGGCCCGAATAAGAACTCCCCTGGTAAGGTGTTTTCAGTCAGTTCTTTAACTGATTTGTTGAGTACTGGGCTGATCAGGTACTTTCTAGTTTTAGAGATGTCGTGAAAGAGTGCCGCCAAGGTTCGCGCAGAATCTGTCAAATTCGATAAAATCTTTTCCTTGGTATCCTTGGGAATCTGGGTTTCTTCTTCCAAAATGACGTTAAAAGCTTTCCCCATGGCGGTCAGTCCGGTACCAATGTTCAATTGGTACCCGGAATGGGTGGCATCTCTCGTTAAATGAGTAGAAGAGAGAATGGCTTTCACTTCGGGGTTTATCTTCGGAGGGTGTAAAGAGGCACAGTTAGAAGGCACAATGTGTTTTTCTCTAATGATGGTGGTGTCCTCGGTGGAAAGTCCGTTGGCCAAAATGTGGGACCATCGAGAAGCTAAGGCACCGTGTAGTTGG